ATACCAAACTCACGATCGTGTATTTTCATAAAAGTTAACTTTTTTACAGAAAACGTGCACTCTTTTTTGTTTTTCTGCCAAAAAAGGTTAATATTGAAAGCTTAGATTTGTTGTCATATTTTTGATTTTTAAAGAATTTGTCACAAATTATTGAAATGACTGTATTTATAATTAAGTATTTGAAAAATATTTGTTTCAATTCTTTCAATGACATTTATTTATTATATATTTATTTATTTATTTATTTTTTATTATATTTACTTTAAATTATTCACAAGATAGAAACAAACACTGTCACCGCGATTTCATTTTGACAACTAAGAAAGCTTAAGCATTTGTACGAAAGAGAGAGTTGAAGTGCAAACATTTGTAGTGCAAAAGTAACTACAATCTGTTTTGCAGAAACAAGCTTTTTGTTGATGACAGATAAGACCGTACGAGCTTTCATAACAATTCGCACAAGTTAAAGGTTTAAGCCAAAAAGTATGCAATCAATTACAAAAGTCTTTACTACAGTTTTTATTATAATTATATTTAGTTTACATCGATGGTCAGCGTTATATATTTAAATCTAAGCAAGTATACTTATTACTTAAAAAAAAACTGAATTAATAAAACTCCAAACGCAATTTAAGTGTGAAACGCATTGGCTCAGTGTGAGAGTTAGTCTTGAATTCCATAGAGTCTGAGATTTGGGCCTTGTAGTTTAAAAACTAAACACAGACAGTCTAATTGTCTGTAATAATTAGTAAATATTTACAATGACTACTAAAAATGGATATTCGGCAATATCTGAAACAGCTATATGGTTCTCCACTAAATTTTATGGAATTTAAAATACAATTAATTAAATAAGTATAAATAAGTAATAATTATAAATACAAATGGAACAATGTCAGTTGTAGTTCGTTTTACATAAAACAAATTTTTCATACATACTGCGGAAAACAGATAGAAGCTTTACGAAAGAAGGATCCTTAGATTCAGTTTTGCAATGCATATTAAGGGAACCCTTAACCTGAGTTTAGTATAAGTTTTTTTAAAAACTTAACCTTAGACGGTTTTTACAATTGAAGGACTGAAGAATTTTATTCTCATTCTCCACTGACCTACTACTTTAATAGTAATATTTGAATGGAATTCCTAAATAGTTGCAAGACTTCCTATTAGATATTGCCTAATTCATTCAACTGTATTAGATCAATCAATCTAGACCAATTAGTTGCTTTAATTTGATAGGATTGTAAACTGGCTATGTCATACTCATGTTTTGGCAAGTGTTTTTCTTGCTGATACAAACTTAGATATTATGAAAACAACATTAAAGTATATAATGGCTGTTTAACTATTACCAAAAATATAAATACAGATCATGACAAATCATGTCAACGGTTTTTTAAATCAGTTTTTCATTGTTTCATCTAAATTGCTTTATAATATCAATTGCTTTCTTTTGTTTCAATTTAAAATAATACATATCTGAAAGTAACATACTGGATGCTTTTGACCTCAACACTTACGATATATCTAAAAAATTTTTTAAGCCTTTCTAATAAATCAAAAATAAATAAATATTTCGGAAAAAGAGTTACCAAATTTTTTCCTAAGAGATATTTGGCTAATGGGGTAAGAGAATTGCATCTTAAACTAATTTTTGAATGATCAATGCTCAGGCTCAGTAAACAACAGATAACTAAAGTTAATATCATTTAAAACACAATTGATTGAATGTCTCATTTACATGTTAATTGATTAAAATTATTAATATTTAAGCACTAATATTAATTTAAAAATGATAATCTTTTTATTTTATTATATTTGATTTCAATTTATCATTAAATTTAATTTAAAAATTGAAAAGTGAGGATGAATTAGATGTAGATAAATTTTTAAAAAATTAATTAACGTTATAAATTTAGATTAGTAGTAATAAATAAATATAACATAGCAAGTGAATTTGTTAATGAACATTTACAGCAAATTACAAAACTCCACGTAAGAACAATATAAGTCAAGTATGGCTTTGAGTCAGTTAGTTGAATAAATCTGACTCTGAGTTTCAAATTATATAGTGAAAATACATGTTCTATCCTTGGCAGTTACAGTGTAAAAATTATTTAGAAATAGCTAAATAAAAAAAAAATTTTCAAAAAGACCACGGATGATGGATATTCAGCAATTCGTGTATTGCCGGTACTATGGTACTATATATGGGTAGCCAAGAGTTCGTATATGTGCATTAGATGTACGCTTTGCAGTTAATTTTATTTTTATTTTTTTAAAAATAATACCATTCTCAAAATGATTATAATTCTAAATTAAAAATAATATGTATATGAATACTTTTGTAAAGGGAAATTTTTATATTAGCCCATTTTTTGTCATAATCCATTCTTTTTGTAAATGTGTTTAGACTTAGCAAATTTCAATTAATTCGAATTAAATTTATAACGATTGGTTTTCGGATTAAATTTTAAAACACAAAAATTCAATCTTTGCAATATTTATATTTACTGTGATTTTCATAAAATTTTAAAGTCGAACAATGAAAAAAATTATTAAAAATAATTTTAATAGTAAACATTATTCATAAATTTTTTTTTTTATATATAATCTATTATATGTAAATAATAATATACAAATTTCATCATGTCGTTATGCTAATTAAGATTATCATGGTCCATTGTGTACGATAAATATTTTTATAACTTATGGATATTGTACAATTACTTAATAATAACTTAATTTCTAAAAGGGAGGTCTAATACATTTAACTTTTTAAGCATTCTGATCTCATCAGTCTCGTCTAATAAAGTCTTTCAAGATATTTTGATGCAAAATTTTTTATTACCTCCTTCATATAGGAGACTTTGAGATCTCTATGAATGCAGTGGTTTGTTACATACCATGGAGAATTTACAATTAATCTAAGTGTTTTAGACTGGAATCATTTCAAGACGTATTTCAAGCTTAGAGTTACTTGCAGTATTATATGGTGGAACGTTGGGCCAGCGCACTGTCCAACAAGTGGCCCCACTGAAGTGAAGGATTAATCGAAGTAGACCACGAAAATACTTGGGTCCTTTTTCGTCTTTCGATTGTCGGATGTTGTTATTGAGTTAAAGCTGGGGTGGCTTCCGTTCGCATAACTACATCATTTGTTAATGCAAGCAGCTCATTTAGCTTGAGGTTTCCTGCCAAGTCATCACCAACCCAATGGTGTCCCAAGACAGTCTTCCTCTTACTTGCCAGTGCTGGGCATTGGCACAATATATGCACCGCTGTTTCCTTTTCTTCTAGACATAGTCTGCAAGTGTCTTTCTCAGCAAGAGTTATCTTTTTCAGGTGATACTTGAAGTTGCCATGTCCAGTAATTAGCGAGGTCAGCCAGCACTTTCATCGCTTCCCTGGCCCACGGTTTCGGCAACATGAGTTTGTCTGTCTATAAGGGCTCAACTCTCTCCATCTATTAAGATGAAGTGAGGTTATCCACTTATAGACAGTTACTTGCACTAACCCATTGCTACATCCTATATGTCCAGATTGGCGCAATAATCGTTTTATATAAAAGTAGTTTATTGCGTTGTTTTCTTTTAGTTTGAATGTGTTCCTTGAACGTTAATCGTTTATCGAGATGAATACCTAAGTACTTAACTGTACCAGTTGATGGTATAACGTTTCCACCAAGACTAACAGGCAAGCAGTTATCTCTTCTCAAAGTTAATGTGGTGTCAGCAGATTTTTCTGTGTTGACCTTCTGTGTTGATCTTTCAGCGTTTCAGCCATATCTCTAGTGAGTTTAGCTCCTTTTGAACTAGACCCGATGTAGTTACAAGCGATTCTGATGGAGACATTATCGCAGTAATTCATAAAATTAAAAAAAATATATATATCTATTGTGAAGTATCTGCTTTTTGGCCAAGCATAACTTTTCAACACCCTACATACAACGAATTTGTTCATTACAACTTTTTAATATATTTTCCTCTTGAAATAAAATGCATATTAAAATGTTTAATAGTTAAATTCTTTTTATTTATCACATGTATAAAAAATATAAAAAACAAAAATTTATGAAAAATATGTGTGAATAAACAAATTATTTACAAATATAAAATACAAAAAAAATAATGCAAAATGAATCACAAGCCGAACTTTTCTTTTCGTTTGGGACGAAAAACAAAAATACTTATGTTAAAATAAAAATGAAAAAAAAAAACAAAACAAAATTAATAACAAAATATTATACAATTTAAGTTTAAGTTCAATTTCAACAACACAAAAAATAAAAAAAAAACAAAAAATAATAACAAAAAAATAAACAATAACAAAAAAGCAGCGTTCAATAATCAAGATCATCATCACTCAATGGCCTCAATTATTTCGTATTCATCGTCCAATGAATGGTCATAATCGATGTTGTACTTATTTTTGATTTTGCTCTTGTAATCTTTTAATTCGTCATTGTCTAAGTTATTGGCATTTGTTGTTGTTGGTGTGGATTTATATCGGCTGTTGTTGCCATTGTTCTTAGGCTGCTTATTGTTGCTATAATTATAGTATTTATTGCTATTATTATTATTACTGCTATATTGACTTATGCTATAACGATAATTAGTATTTCGATTATATTCATTATTACTATTATTGCCGTTGTTGTTGCTGTTGCTGTTGTTGTTGTTATTGTTGCTATTGGAATTTGAATATTTTACATTGCCTCTAAAACTATTTTTGGTTCCATTACGAGTTAAGGTTGTGAATTGTTGTTGCTGTTGTTGTAGGTGTTGTTGCTGTAGGTGTTGTTGGTATTGATTATAGGTGCGTGGAGTTGTCTTTATATATTGAGACTTAAATTGATTTTCTACACTCATTTTATTCCCTCTTGAATTTGAATTAAAGTTTTGCTGTTGGTAAAAATCATCGCCTTGTTTTTGTAATTTTTCATTTTGTTCTAATTGTTGTATTGTTGGTTGTGTGTTGTTGATAATTTTGTTTTTGTCTCATATTTGCAAAAGATTCGGTGCGCTGATTTTTATCATTGGCCTTATATCAAATATCCCCTTGTTGTCCCTGATTTTGTTCGGTTGGTCTATATAATTCTTCATTGTTATCATATAATTGCTCTGAAGCGGGACAATTGACATTTGACCACCAATCACAAACACGCACTGCTTGATTAAATACTGTACCATTGGGACAGAGGAACGAGTATTGATGACCGGAGTGTAGGCACCAATGCCAAACCTATAAGCAGATTTTTATGTATTTAGTATTTAAAGAAATGTAATAATAACATATTTGGTTAATGTTTTATATGTTGAGTTTGATGATTTGATTTAATTTGATTTAAAAGTTAATTATGATGCAGGAAACTATTTTCTTAATGGAAACTATATTTTAATAAAGAAGTTTTTAGATATTATTTTGGTTCTTACATTTTTAAGGAAAAAAAAACAAAAAAGAAGAGTATTAAAAATGTATTAATGGAATACTCAGTGGTCTTAAACAAACTGTGTTAATTTTTGAGCAAAAAACTTGGTGGATTATTTATTCCTTAAGGTCACACTATATGAATGCCAGTATTTAAAATTCATACATAAACTGTGCTAGTTGATGTCAACTAACTAGCATTTGGTTCATTTACCGAAGATGCGAAGATGTTCTTGTTGCCGTCTTTTTATTGTAAATAAGATTATCAAGGTAGAATTTAACCCATAATCCTCTTATCCCCACTAGATATGTCACTGCATGTTTAATCAATTTTTAAATTGCCAACATATTAATTGGTTCAACATATTAATCTTATGTCATTTTCTATAGGCAAACCTAGTTTAAATTTTTCACCAGAGATTTACTTTTATGACAGAGTTGGGTTTCGAGATAAATTTATAAGACTTTAGATATTTTGCCAAATTAACCAAGTTCCTCTAAAATGAATAGCTGTTTTATGTTATTTGAGAACAATATTTAGAGATTACCCTAAACATGTTCACTTGGCCCACAAAATTCAAGAAAATAAGATACATCGAGAGCAAATCTATATTTCCCAATCAAAAACGACATTAAAAATTGCTGTGTGCGAAAAATATTAATAAAGTCGGGTTCAATTTTTGGAATTACTATTACAGTAACAGAACTAACTAAACTAACTAACTAAAGTTTGATATGCAAACTATATATTCAAACTATTCAAAACTGTGAGAAACCATCAATAATAAGTTGTGAGTGAATAAATTTTGCGACATAATATAATAAAGACAATAATATAATAAAAATATTATTAATGTACTAAATATATAATATATTTAAGCCTCTTAGGATGAAAATTCTGAAGTATAATTTGTGAGGTTTAATGTATGGATCATAATTTGATCATATGGCTATTATCTTTTTTTGGCTAAAACGAATATTTATTGCATTGTCTGATAATTTCGTAATATCATTTTCAAACAACAGCTAAACAGGAATATTTTTAGGAATATTTACTGCGTTGTTTTATAATTTCATATCCTCTTCGAACAAAAGACTAATTTTAGGAAACGCTTGTTTTTAGTTTTTACCTAGTCTAACTTGTCTATGTGTAGAGATGCAAGTAATAGAGCTATAGTAAATAGATAGCACCAAAAATTTAAGTAAGCTTTATCTATCTTTATAATTAATAACAGATATATAAAATTGAATAAAAAAATAAACTGCTTAATTTTGGTACAATTATAAAAAAATCTTTTCGACTTCTAAACATTGTTAAGTCTCATTTGTTTTTATTTAATTTTCGCTAACTTACTTGGCAACGGGTTTCAGTATCAGCATAGTAGCCTGGCATTCGTCCTTGGCATTTGAATGATAGATCTTTCGGTACAGAATCATATGTTGGGTAATCGACACCAGCTTCATATCCATCAATTTGCTAAAAAGAAATATTACAACATATTATTATACTGTAAAGTAATATCCTTCAAGGATATAATCAAAAATATTTTATATAATGAAATTAATTTAAATTTTACAGATAAAATAAAACTATGTAACACTCTTTATTCGATTTTATTAATTTAATAAATGAACATGTAGTTATTACTGTATGGAGTTCTCTCTCTTTCAAGAGTAGATTTACATTTCGAAGATATGTTATATGTGGTCTTAGCATGTAGAATAGTAGCTTATAATAGCGGGTGGAGTGGCGACGTTGTACACTAACACTCACTTGAGCTTTAACAATGGCCCATTGCGATATTGAATAGCATTGCTCATAAATAGACCAAAAGAACCCTAAACGGATAACAGTGGTCAGCGTACAAACCAAGCTTGAGAAATAGCCGTAAAAATGAAAATCAAAACCATTTGAGTACTTCCTAAAGTACTTTGTTTCCTTTTCTTAACAGTTAAAGCTGCACTATTCTAAGTACGTAGGTCTTTACGTTTTACCAGTATGTTTTATTATGTTTCAGAATTTCTTATCGAAATAAATGATTTTTTAGTTCCTATCAAAACTGACAAAATTGTTTGAAAATTACAATGGAAGAATTCATAATTAGAAAGCATTCTTGTTTAATTAAAAACTTCGATGGAAACTTTCGACGCACCTATAAATTCAACGAAAAATTGTTCTTGCCAATAGATGTTGATTAAGTAAGCAATTGAGTCCTCATGCAAAAGTGTTAGAAGTATTCGAACGAAACATTTTCCGGAAGAACAATCGTTTATCACGCGTTGATAACGAGTATCAAATAGATAGAACGATGAATTATATGACATTAACATAGTTTAGTTTAATCTGCAAAATAAGCAATAAATATTTCTTTATATAATTTAATAAGCAAAACTACTTGAAGGAGGAAGAGAGGAACAGAGTAGTCTTATAAATATTTTAACTAAACAATATAGTAAACTGAACTAACTACATGAAGAATGTTTTATGTGGTTCTATGAGAGAGTTCAAATTCTTAAGTACGATGTCTGTTTGACAGTTCTCGGCTTCCATTCACACCTTGGTTTAGGTTTCGTGAATAAGCACAGTTTTGCATTTGATGAGAAGTAAATGAAGTAAAACTCCAAATGTTGCTCATGAAATACATTAAAAAAAGTGGTAAAAATTTTTTGGATATAGTAAAATGGAAAATGCCATGGAAAAAACTATTAAAATTTTAATTGCTAATTTTTGTTTATTTTCTGGAATATTTACTACACAGTTTGAAGATGTAACAGTAACATTTAGTCATTATTTATGCCAAGAAATAATTTTTCAATTGGACACAGACTATAATTTTTTTAATTATTTCTTTGCTTGGTATGTGACTACAATATATTTTTATTTAGCATTTTATCACTTTTAGCACTTTTAGAGATTTTAACATTTTGACATCATGGGCATGGCACAAAATATCTATGACCTTAGGTATATCACTCATAACGAAAATTATTATGGTGTTAAAAATATGTTATGTGAAACATGTTGATGTGATGATGTATATGTAATTAATTATTATTTTAAATTTAATAAAGAAAATTAAAGTGACGACCTTCAAAATAAATTAATAAGTAAAAATGACTATAAAACATAAATAATTATATTGCAAAACATAAAATTGCTCAAGCAGTTAGAATGATTCTTATTTTATATTTAATGACAAAATTGTTTATGACTAACTAATTTAAAATTCAAATTTAGCGTAAACACAAAAGAGCATAAATAAATAATATATTTTTTCTTCGTTATCAGAGTTGCATTCGCTACACTTTAATGCCACAGAAGCTGTCAATCTCATGCGTACGAAACCATGAAACAATGTCATTAAAAATAATGGAATTAGTGTTAGAACTTTATGTGCAAACTTAAAAAACACAGAAGCACAGTAGCACAGCAGCACGGAAGCAGAGAAGCACAGAAGCGCAAAAGTACCACAGCGTCAGAGCTTAATATGGCTGCGCTTCTGTGATTATTTTTAACTTAAACTGTTATACAAACTTCCAGATTTGGTGTGTTTGTGTGTGTATGTGTGTTTTTTTCTGCGATTGTACGTGCTGCAGAAATTTACATATTTGCTTTTCGACAAAATTTTGTAATAAAACCAAATTTTGCGCCAATGATCGTGTTTGTATGAGTTTAAAATGACTTAATGCGTTCATTAAAAAACACAAAGACACAAAAACACAAAAAAAAAAGCTCAAAACGAAGCACAAAAATTATGCACAAAATTTTACACAATTGCTGCATCGTGTTGCATATTGTTTATTGGTGGTATACTATTGATGTTGTTGTTGCTGTTGTTGTTGGTATTTTTGTAGTATTATCTAGCATGTTGTTGATGATTCTTTGTTTTCGCTGTTGTGTTCGTTGTTGTTGTTGTTGTTGTCGTTATTGTCGGTGATATGTGAGGTTTTTGCAATAATGTAGCCATATGGACCTCAATTCTTTCGTTACGCTTAAATGAACTAAAAATGCATAGATGAACAAAAACAAAAACAGACACTAACACTAACCAAAAAATTTGAAAAAAAAAATTTATCCCAAATAGGCCCTTTCAAAACAATGCAATAGACGTTGCATGCTGCATTTTTAATAATTTTTACAGCATATAAATTGCAATAAAGCACTTTTATGTTGCCACTTCACTTCACTTCTTCTTTTTTTTTTGGTTTTTAGCACATCAATTTTTGATAAATTCGTTGTAATTTTTTGTAGTATTTGTTATTTAATTGTTCGTATTTTTTTTTCATAAATTTTAAATTCAAAAATAAATGTGAGTAATTATGTAGTTGTAGAAAAATTGGTTAAAATATGATGTTTAATATATAATAAATAGATCTCATAAATTTATTTAAATAACATGTCAATCATTGAGGTGATATATGGCTGTAGAGCAAAAGGTTAGTTCACAAGCAAAGTACAGTGAAAACTCATATAGTATATTGTACCTAGAGTTTATACATATTATAAGTGTTTTAATTCTAATATTTAATTGTGGTTATTAAATATTAATATTAAAATTAAAAAAAATTATACAAAATGAAAGTAAAATAGTTCGCTTTGACTTTACTAAAACTAATAACACAGAACTTTACACTTTACGGGATCTAATACTGGATTCACACGAGAGTTTTGTTTGTAATTTTAGATGTCAGTTGTTGTTGCTTGCAATGCAAAATGAATATTTTTTACAATATACAGTATAAAGTAAATAAAGTATATAAACTATTTAGATCCTAAACAGTTTTTTGAACAAAGGATAAAATACGAGTACCAATAAATTATCTGTTACTTTTTTTAAATGTTATATTTTATATTCTTTTCGAATGAATAAAATGAATAATGAAGATTTCATACTGCCAATCTGAACATCATTAATTTTAAATAAGATATCGGCAATATGGATAAAAGAAATTACTAACACCAGCAGAAAACTTAGAAGGAGTTCGAATGTTTATCAGAAAAATAGCTCAGACTCGGCAGAAATAGAAACATTTCATTCTTACTAACGTACTACGTCATAAGTTAGAATATGAGAAAAATAATAAGGTCAATAATCAGAGAGTGATTTACAAAGTTTATTGATAAGCTAATAAGATAATTTATTTGAGAGCAGCTTTAATTTCTTACGACTCTGCTGAGATATTCAATACTGAAGATGCCCTAAAGAATACCATGAATACAAAAGAAGGTGTTTATTTATCATAAAATGGTTGTTCTGAGAAGCCCAAAAATAGTAACTCAAATAAGCATGGCTCTATAATAAAAATGAACACTATTTAAATAGTTATGTTAACTTCGTATATGTTAAATAAATTGGTAGCAGACTTTACTCTTTTATGCGATGGGTATAATTATAAGCTTACTTTCCTATGTCCTTGGGGGACATGTCCTTTCTCATCTTTACAAACAATATTCTAACTTAAACTAGTTTAAGACTTTATAGCCATGTTTTCTTGCCTATTTTTTTGAAATTATATTGGCGACTTTTGCAATTTGGTTCCCAGAAAAAAAACGTAATATTACTTTTAAATAATATTGTGTAGAAAGATCTCATTGTGATAAATATAATAAATTAAATCAATTAATAAATTAAAATATTAAAAAAACTGAACTAAAATAGTGAAAAAGTATGTGATAACTCACCTAATAACCCATATTGAGTAGTACATTTTTTGAGTATATACGACACACTTATACAATTTTCACTTAACATTTAGTTAATCCGTTCGTTAATTTCTCTACGACACTCTTTAATCCTAACCACTTACATTAAAGGCTTTACAATATTTTTGGACATAACATAAACTTTCAAGCATAGACATATACACCTCTCCTTTCTGTTCCTAATTACTAAAATGGAATATCGTCATTTATAGATTGCTTACTAAAGTACTTATGCAATTTATTTTAAAATGTTGCTTTACCTAAGTTGACACATACCACTTACTTGAGATGCTGGTTTATTTTTTGTTATAAATTCAGTTTTATATATCAATTCATTTACAGAGCTTGTCATTTTTGACGTTAACAGACAACTTTTAATTGTTTAATTGTGTTTTCTTTCTTTAATAGGGACATTAAAATGAATGATTTAATTGTAAATCATAAATGTGAATTTTTAAATTCTATTTTCTAGTACGTAATACGTGAGAAACTCAATTAACGAAAATACTTTTCTGATTCCATATTTCTTTCAATTTTGTAGAAATGCTCGAATTTGTCATAATAATTTAAATACATAGAATAATGCTTATATTTCATAGATTTCCTTATCGAAGATATTATAAAATCAGTTAAGAAAAAGTGAAACTATTTACTTGAATTTGAAACTGTATTTCATTGCAGCATAAAAATATTTGCAAATAAGTAAGTTGATTTGGTTTTAAGATCATTTCTAATCAATGTGTGATGTTGCATATTTGAGGTTTTTAACTCAAATTGTATTGGTTTAAATACACAAACAACTTTAATTGTTTGTTAATCGTAATATATAATAACATTGTCTTAATCAACTTGTCTAAATCTCCAGCTTCCTTCCATATGTAGTGCTTTTGTTGGGTGTTCCAAAGACAATTTTTAGTTAAAGAAATTAAATAAATTTAAATAAATTACAGCAATATAAATTTTAATTTGTTTTAAAAAATACTTATTTTTTTTGTAAACAATTTTTTCAATAACAATTGTCAATCTATTTGAAAATATTAAAATTTAATTCATAAAGTATAACCTTTGGAAACTATTATCTCTTTTAGAAAATTAAATTCAAACTTTAATTATTAGTAGCAAATCGGATGAAAATTAATTATTTTTAATAGTTAAAAAAATTATACACAAATAATTAACAATCAATTAGTAAAATAAATAATATTTATGCAATATTTCCTGGAACTAATAAAAGTCAATAAAAACTTTTGCCTTGTGCCCTTTTTATACACAGAAGTGTTTTTATCCTCAGCAAATTGGTTTTGCAAACAAAAAAAATATATACGACGAGTTGCCACTGTTCGTTTCGTATTCACCTCATCTGTTCTACAAACCGACTAACACCTTTTTCCGCTTTAATGGCGTCTCTTCTTCTTCTTTTGTGCAATTGATGCTAATTTCCCAAATCGTTGTGGTATTTGTTTCTGATGTTGTTGTTGTTGCGGCAGCGTTTGTTGTTGTTATGTTGCTGCAGTGTAGCATCAACAATTGTTGAAAATTGCATCAAGGCTAATTGAAAGAAGATTGTGACACCTTTATGGCGGCGGTGAATGTGGCATAAAGAGGCAGGAAAGCGCTTGTTGAAGCTGAAAATTAAGTTCCACACAAGTATTTCAAAATCGCATGCAATTTTTTTCACTAGAGTTGTTGTTGCTGTTGTGTTTTTTTTGTTCATTTTTTTTATTATTATTTGTGCATTGTTTTTATTATTTTTATTTGTGCATCACCGTTGTTGTTGTTGTTGTTGCTGTTCTTATTGTTGCTCTTTCGTTGCAACTTCGCGTGGGAGTATTTTTGAGATGATCTCCATCAAAATTCGCGCAACAAATGAATGTGTAATCACATTACTTTTATTGAATCATCACAAGATGACAGTTATGGTTTAATTGTTTCATATCGAGATTGGAAAATAATATATATCATGAAAAATAAATAGTTTATATGAAAATGTTGAAAAATAAACGAAATTTATTTATCATAAATTATTTAGTATTAAGTAAGAAGAGTGAAATCATTTAAAATTAAATCATTTATTAAGGCGGAAATATCGAACAGGAGTGAGCTACAATAACAAAAAATATTTTTATATTATTTTAATTAATTAAATTTTTAGCTAACCATACAGTTGTTTCGAGTATTGCGAAATAACCATCATCTGTGGTCTTTGAAACATTTCTAGAAAAATGTGCGAACATAAAAGTCAAGTACGGCTTTGGGTCAGTTGGTTAAGAAGCGCTGACTCTAAGCTTCAAATTTGGCACGAGTTCGATTTCTGGCATTTGCAGTTTCAAAAAATTATTTACGAATAACTAAATAAAAGAAATATTTCAAAGACCACTGATGGTGGGTATTTGGCAATACTCAAAACAGCTGTATGGTCAGCCAGAAATCCAATTAATAATGTCATATTGACATTGAAATCAAATTTTATTATTTACTAAGGCAATTAAGCAATACATTCAAACTATCAGGCTAAAAAGAAATGACCCAACTTAATTAAATTGATATTAATTACGTTGTAAACCCTTCACTTCCATTTACGCACGCAATCGAAGCTCAATTTTGGTACACATCGATTGTGATTAAAAGGTGACGAGGTATTTTAATTTTTTTAAAAAATTTGTAAACTTAAATGTATTTGGCATCATCTTCAACGTTAGTCTATCTTTGATATAATTAACCCTTATGCCCTTATTAGCACTGTTATTATGTTGGTGTCTATTTTTGATTTTAAAAAATATTTTAGTATAAAAGGTATTAATATTTTTTTTTTTTTCATTTTTAATTATGATTAAATTTAATTATTATTTGACGGATTAGTCCAATTAATTTAGATGTCTTTTTTATTTGATCTTGAACTCGCACTGGTAATTTATAGGCAGCTATAGTTGAAACACTAAATCTTTTTGAGTGTGGAAAGAGTTCAAAATTCTCAATGCTTCTCTTCACTCTTGGTATATAAAGTACAATAACCAAAAGTCGAACTTTCAATAAGATCATCAAATGAAATAATATATAAAGACTTTCTGGGTAAACTGAGCAATATTTTCTAAGAAGCATCTATATTTTCATTTATATAAAAAAAATTATTTTAATTGTTAAAATTTTGAAACCTAAAAACATTTTTTAGGATTTGTTTAGAATACCACTTTAAGCTAAAGTAGAATTCAATATTTATAGAATAGTAGCCAAGTAATATCTTATTTAAATTATAATACCAATACGATACTAATACTAATAGTATTAAATTATGTAAAGACATAATCTTAGTTATACATTATTGTTTCAGTTACTTTCTATCTCATTTCTTTCTAGTCCCATATATAGAATATGAGTGCACGTCATGTTGCCACCAGCAGAATATTCAAACTAATCCTAACAAAACATTTTTATATTCGATGTATACATATATAATGAATACCAAGAGTATATATTAAAGTTACTTTCGCTAAATCGTTAAGATTTACGGAACTACATATGTAGTCAAGCGAATTCGATTACTGCAAGTTAAATACTCTTTTGAAACCGGTATATGATCAGTAAACATTTTGTTTTACAATTAAACAATGCTTTAATGCAAAAAATTATTAAAAAAAGATTACCGCATAAATATCATTTTCGTTTTGAAATGCAAAAAATCAAAAACAATTTTGGCTTAGCAGATATCCGTCCGCTTTTTCACTGTTTTTTAAAGAAAAACAAGGTTTCGCAAGAAACCTTACGATATAAAAAGAAAACAAAGGTTGTTTAACAGATCTTTTGTTTTTCCTGATGAACAGTCTGACATACTGTCGCAAAAAACTTCCCTAAAAAGTACTTCTTCTTGTTTCTTCTAGATGCCAAAGATGGGCAATTGGCTCAATTGTTTCTTTACCTGTAAGTTACTAAAAAAATTTCAGTGAATATTAAAAGGAATACGCAGTTTCTCTGCGTGGGTTCCTATAAAATAGTGATCAGACAGCACTGCACAAAGCTTTGAAGTATTGACGCGGTTCTTTTTAATAAATCCCCAAGCTCTGCTCTTATTATGTAACGGTCATGTTAACTGGGAACTATGCTTTATAAGTAGCTATGCTAAATGCAGTATCCTCTTTGAGACCATGGTTGCATTACAGAGAATGACATCTTCTACGTGCAAACAGAAGTATCCTAGCTCAATTGAGATCAATATATAGTCATATGCTATTTACTCTTCACGTAAAAGCGCGTCAGTTCCCAATGTGTACCCTAACTGAAGCTGTACGCTTCATGATGTTGCCCATCTTTTTTCTTATTCCAATACTAACTTCAATTTAGTCGATCTTCAGACCCACTCTACTGAAGTGGCTAGGTTTCGTCACCTTGATCCTGATTGATTTCACTTTTAATCTTTTTCATCCCCAACCTATTTTTACTCCTAAATAACCCACCCTTCAGGCTACAACAGCAACAGCTAACTATACTAAACTATTAATATTAGAATTGAGAAGTCATTTTCTTCAAGTTAATCGGAATTACTGATCAACATGCAATACTATCATAAATATAAGTTTAAAAGCATTTAGAATTTTGATAATTCTCAGTCTTATTAAAGAGAGTTCTTATTTGAGTTGACAAAATTTATAACGCAAAGTCATAACGAGGACACCAAGTAATTAGTTGTTTTCTATTATGGATACACTTGGACTTAACGACTTTTATATAAGTTTTGTATAAGAATAGCATATGTTGCTGCATACTTGTCAAATTAAATAAAATAATCTTAATATAGCAAAATACTATGTTTAGAGGAAGACTTATCCAGTCTCATTAGCATATTTTTATATATATTTTGTATAGATTTTGTATGAAAACTGGCTCTTATTACTGCATATTTGACGAATTTAATTAAATAGTATATGGGTACTTTACATAGCATGCAATAGCAACATAGCAATATTTTCTATTTTACATGTTTATGGACGTTTTATTTTTAATACCAAAACATAACAGTTCACAGCGAAAATAAGAAATTTATGTGTATTTTGTGAATACTATAATATATGTTCAAATGTTTCTTTTGCTTTCCTACATATAGTACAGATATAACCAAACTCATATATACGAATGTTCAATCTGCAGAATTCATTAAGTGTAGCAAACATAAAAAAATTATTGCACCATATTAATCCTCAAAACTTATTCAAGTGTGGCATAAGTCAATAAGACCAAACATTACTTTTAGAATAGCTTCCCTATAATGCTACACAGGCTATTCATTTTAAAATTATTTTATAACTAATATTGCTAGTACTAATGTCATATTACCAAGGAAAAGGGCATAATTTTTGCACTGAAATTAGAAAATAAGATATTCATGATATTTGGACATTTCTTAACTACTTTACAATTAATGATGATATCTAATCTAAATAACAAATAGTTTTTAATAAGCCACAATCCTAGATATCTGTGACTTAATTGTATTTTAATTGGCAGTTGATTTTATTGACAACTATTTTTTTACGAGTTGGATTTCAATAAAAATTACATTTAAGTGCAGTTGCACATAAAAACATACATTGAAATACATATATGCATAATATCTATTTGCTCTCATGCTATTGATTATTAAATAAATTAATGTAATGCGCCCGGCTGCAGGCAATAAACTCACCCCATTGACACAGATAACTGCCAAAATTAATCCAAAGACAATGGCAGCGGCAATGTTGTGCAGCTGCAAATGAAGATGCATTCGCTCCATTTGACGATGATGTCTTGGCTGTGTTTGTTGTATTTGTACTTTTCTGGTTGTTACAGCCATTGTTGATATGGATTTTGTGTCGTCTTTGGTGCAACGGTACGTATAAGTAATTTAAATGCGATTTACTATCTAAAAACAAAAACAAATGAATGAGTTTTACACAACACAAGCTAAAAAAAAAAAGATCCAAAAAATCCAAATAATCAAAATAATGAAATTAAAATTTAGAAAGGAACTCTGAATCTGAATCTGAATCCGAAAACCGAAAGTACGTTAAAATCAGAGTCAATTTGAAAACATAGTCGTAATATATTTCAGACACGAAAACAAGACGTCGAGTTGGTACTCAAGTCAACGCGATGGCGATGGCAATGATGATGATGATGATGTTGCTACAAAAGACTTATGATGTTCTCACGGTTTTAGATTTTGTTGCCATAAATTTTTTTTATTGACTTTTTGGCAACATAAAATATTGTTTTGTATACAAATGCACTTAAAAATGTATTAATGCACTTTTTAATGTTACAATAAAGCCAAAATGCAATTGCTTAATTCATTTTTGCTGTCAATATTTTAACGCAATTTTTTTTTTGTTTTACTGCGATAAATGTTTTTTTTTGTTTATTTTATTTAATTTTATTATTTATTACGCACTTCTTTCTATTACACCTTTTTGCTTAAGATTCTGTGGCTTTTTATTTACGAACGAACGCGCGCGCTTTTCAAACACGTGTGCCTTTGCGCCTGGTTTCAATGCAAAAGTTAAAAAAATCAGCACACATTTCGGTTTTATACCAAAGCCGAAACGCTAAACGCAAAAATGAAAATCATCAACTCCAAGAGTACCAAATACACCAACAACAAAAGCATCAAACACAAAAGCACCAACAACACATCGTCGACATCATCGTCTTCGTCACAACACATCGTTGGTATAGTCAGCGGCTACGTCATCAACTTTGTTATCAGATCTGGTAGCAAAGCAAAGGTAGCAACAACAACAACAACAACAACAACAACAACAACACCAATGACAGAGAGAGAGAATAATCAAAACAAATGTGCTGCGCTTTTGTTGTTGTTTCGTTTAGTTCGTCGCGAACGCAGCCACCAAAAGCCGCAAAATCTGAAGGAGGCACAATTGGTACAATTCGGTAAATGCGCTTAGTATGAAGTCTGCTTCAAGCAAGGCATGTGCTAATTGAGCTCTTTCACATTAAAACTTAAGTATTTTACATTTATTGAAAATCACTTAAGGCCTTCGGAACTAAAAATATCAAAAGACTTAGACAACAAACTTTTGAGTAGTGTGAGGTGAACAATAGCAGGAGTTGGTAAATACTAAATTGTGAGAAGCAGATAAGGATTTTTATTAATTTTTTCTTGAATTATAATTTATTGTTTTGTTTTTTATTGATAATTCTGAATAAAATTCTGAATATTTAGAAATTATTTTTATAATTTATATATAAATTCAATATGCAAAAAATGTTATATAAATGTATATAATTATAATAATTAAAGGTTAATTTTTAAATCTAATATGACGTGTCTTATGACGAAAAGAAACTATTTTTAAGTAAAAAGGACTCCAACAGTTATGAAGCCACAACAATTGTTTCGTAACAGCGTTGTATGGTCAGTTTAATTTCAATAAATTAATTAAAATTTTTGTTGGCGTTGCTTTATTACTGTTCGAGCCCTTCTAATTTTGTAATACTAATTAAATTATTATTATAGATCAAAATGCACTGTAACTAATACAAATTTATTGTATAGAACGTTCTATTTTAAATTTCCATGAAATTTAATAAGTGTTATTTTTATATAGGCTAATTGGTCAAAACTTTTTTTATTTTATTGTTGTTAAAAATAAAAAACAAAAATTAAGAATTCACAATTTGATTTTTCAATAATTTTTATTTTTCTTCGATATTTCGACTTTAGTCTAAAGTCATCATCAGGAAACTAAAACATTATATTCAAATACTAAACCACTTATAATACATAATGGTAGACAAAAGGATAAATGTGTGTGTAAATATATATATATATATATTTATATATACATATGTAAATATATGTAAGGAAAAGTACAATGTTTTATTATATAATACCAATGTTTAATACTAAGTTATTAATCCTGTACTTCTTTATTGATGTATAATACTTTTATACATCTGGGCACAGTTGTCAACATCAGTTTTAAAATTGAGCCTTATGTCAGGTGGAATTTTTAGAATTGCAAGCATCTCCAAAAAGTATCTTTTGCGATGGTTATTTTCTTGATGTAAAATTTTTATATTTTCTAAATCTGGCTCATGGTGTGTGGAAATACAATGTGAAGCAAGGGCTGTTTTAGCTTCCACACCGACTTTATTTTTTATGCTGTGTTTATGTCCAGCCATTCTTGTTTTTAATTTATTTTTTGTCGTTCCAACATATACTTGATCACAGACGTCATACCTGAAGTAAATACAACCGACAAGATTGACAGTTTATATTTAACTAAATTTTGTTTACATTTCATTACTTAACATTGCTTAAACTAATGCAAAGCATACTAGATTATAACACTTTCTCCGCCCTTAATTTTTGACAAAGTTTAAGTTTTCCTGAAATCGTCGGATTCAAATCGAATTACATCCTTCCGAATACGACCACTTTTTCGAAGTTGAACTACTTCGGTAGAACGTTCTTCACTAGGCATTAATGTTGATTGGCTAGATGAAGGCGGTGTGGCATTGATGAAATTTGAAGCGAATTCAAAAATTGGTTGTGAAGAGAGGTCAGAGCTACTTCTAGTTTTAAGCTGATTAACATGACGTTTGATGTAACCAAAAGATGTGTTCACTCGGTAAACCATTTTACCAAGTTGTTTCACAATAACTCCTTTTATCCATTTTTCCCCTCTTGCGTAGTTTCGAGCGAAGACGGGTTGCTTTAGACTAAATTTCATTTTCCGTTTCGAAGCTTCAAGGTGCTTTCTAGGCGATTCAAACAGTTGACTCAACAAGGTACGAACAGGCCTTCCATGTAAAAGTTCTGCAGGTGATTTACCTTCAGCATTCGGCATTGCACGATATGTTGCAAGATATTTTGATACAGCGAATTTGAGAGACAATCCATCGTCAATGTTTTTCTGAACAGCAGTTTTAAAAGATCTGACGAATCGTTCGGCTAACCCGTTTGAGGCTGGATGAAACGGCGCTGTTGTTATATGTTTGATGCCAAGTTTTGAGCAAAAATGTTTGAATGCTTCAGCTGTAAATTGCGGACCATTGTCACTTACGATGGTTTCTGGTATACCTTCCAGAGAAAATATAGAAGACAATGCTGATATGGTGTCAACCGTTGTTGTTGTAGATAGTTGTACAACGAACGGAAATTGTGAGAAAGCGTCGACACAAATTAGCCACATTGAATTACAAAATGAACCAGCAAAGTCGATATGTACTCTCTCCCAAGGTCGATCAGCTTCAGGCCAGCTTAAGTATTCACGTGCGTGAACAGGATTTGCAATTTTGCACACATCACAATTTTCAGTTAATTGTGCGATGTCTTTGTCAATATTAGTCCACCAGACATGTTGTCGAGCTAGCTGTTTCATTCTCGATACTCCCCAATGACCATCATGAAGAAGTTTAAGAATTTTCTGCTTAAGGGAGGCTGGAATGACAACCCGGTTGTACTCCGTCTGGAGGCAAAGCAAATTGTTGTTTAGTATTAAAGCAAAGCGATGATTGAAAAATGATCGAAGATCAGCATCTTGAGGCATTAGCTTTTCAGGCCAACCGTTTGTAACGAGAAAATAAACTCGGCGAAGAATTGGGTCATTTTTGGCATGCTGACGAATTATTTCAGCGTCGATAGGTGTGTTAAGTTCATTGATGTTGAAACAGGATTCTTCATGATCAAAAGTTTTGTCTTCACCAACAGGTAAACGAGATAAAGCATCGGCATTTCCATGCTCAGTAGTTTTACGATACCGAACATCATACTGATAAGCCATTAGTATAATAGCCCATCGCTGTAAACGATGTGACGTCATCGACGGCAACTGCTGAATTGGATTAAAAATGCTAACAAGAGGTTTGTGGTCAGTAACCAAGGTGAATCTTCTTCCGTATAAATATTGATGGAAACGCTTGACTCCAAAAACGATAGCTAGCCCTTCCTTCTCTATCTGACTATATCGTCGTTGATGAATGTCGAGAGTTTTAGATGCAAAAGCAATAGGCCTTTCTGTACCGTCAACGTACGTATGCGAGAGCACGACTCCTATGCCATAGGAGGAGGCATCTGTAGCTAGAACCAACGGTAAATCTTCCTGATAATGTGCTAATTGCGCTGCATTGAGAATATGCGTTTTAAGAGCTGTAAATGCTTGTTGTTGTGCTGTACCCCATGTGAATTTTACATTTTTTCGGCGCAGCATGTTGATTGGCGCGGATAATTGCGAAAAATTAGGTATAAAATTATGGTAATAGTTTACCTTACCCATGAATGCTTCTGCTTGCTTTAGATCTTTAGGCGGCTGCAGGTTTTTTACTGCTTTTAGTCCTGACTCATCTGGCAATATACCTTTTGCACTAATTTGACGCCCGAGATATTCAATTTTATCTCGTAGAAAGAAACATTTTTCTTGCTTGCACCTGATACCATTTTGTTGCAAAATACGAAGTACTTGTTCTAGGCGGCTGATGTGTTGTTGAAATGTAGGTGCGGAGATGATGATGTCATCGAGATAATTTCCACAACCTTCTACGCCTTGAAGTAACTGCTCAAGATATCTTTGGAATATAGCTGGAGCGCTTGCAATCCCAAACGGTAAACGTTGGTATTGGAATAAACCAAGTGGAGTGTTGACAACCATTATTGTTTTTGCTTCATCGTCGAGTTCCATTTGTAAATACGCGTCCTTAAGGTCGATTTTTGTAAAATGTTGACCGCAATTA